TTAACAGACCTACCTCTCATGGACATGAAAAGGTAGTATACGGGAGGGGATGGAGCTCAGTGGTAGAGTGCTAGCCTAGCATGTGATTAGTCAGGTTTAACCCCCAGCACAGAAAAAGAAAATTATCTTACAAAGAAGCAGACTGCAAGTAGACTGAAATGCATCTCCTTGTTTGTAGTACTAGTGAAAGACACAACTATGAAAAACTTCAGGATCTGTTTGGGTATATTAAATTCATTTTCAAATCAACATATTATCACATCCAAAAAGTTCCTGTCCTTTGTCTTGCCAAGTCTATGTACAAACCATCTCAGTGTAAACATTACAGCAAGAGTTGGCTGCCTTCCTAAAAGAGGTTACCAACTTTCTGATTCTTGTTTGTATGTCTTTTTTTTTTTTTTTTTTTTTTGGTTTTTCTCCGGTACCGGGAACCGAACTCACGACCTTGCGCTTGCCAGGCAGGCGCTTTTGCCGCTGAGCTAAATCCCCAGCCCCTGTATGTCCTTTTATAGGTGAGAATTTCATTCAGGGAGTTTCTGGAAGGCAAATACTCCAAAAAGTTGAGCATAAACCAACTGGTTTCAAATAAATTAGCTAACTCTCCATTTTAAATCTTCCTGTCTTAAGCTGCCAGGATCATTTAGCTTTGAGCGCTGTTCCAGAAAGGGAAGTAAGGCTGGAGAGGAAAAGAGAACCGAGGAAGGCAGCATAATGACAGCAGGTGAGGAGGGCTTGAGAAGGGGAACAGGCAGCAGAAATACAGAGAGAGGTAATGAAAATGCCAAAGATAAACTCTGCCAACAGCTGCTTACTCTCCATTGTCCCTCATAGCAAAGCTTGTTACAGATTAAACAACATTTTTGGCTACATGTTTTGGGGGCACCATATTTTGTTTTGTTTCTCCTTTTTTTGAGTCAGGGTCTCACTATGTATTCAGGTTGGCCTTGAACTCACTATGCAGCCCAGGCTGGCCTTGAGCTCGCCGGGTTCTTTCTGCTTCAGCCTCCCTGCTGCTGGGAGTACAGGTGCGCACCCTGAAAGGAGGTACTAGTTTCTTAACACAAACTTAATGTGAAATGTAAACTAAGATCATGTCTAAATAAAGAAACTATAGGTTAACAGCAAGTTTCTATTCACAATATATGATAAATAGACACAATATGATGAAAAAATATGAGGCTCAGCTTCACCCAACTCCATTAAAAAGAACACTGAACTAGAACTTGAACACTTAGTTCCTGGTTTTGGTTTAGATGCTCTGAGCAAGTGGCTTTAGGTTAATCACTAAACTTTTACCAATGTTCTCATTCACTCAAAAAAAAAAAAAAACAAGTATCTCTTACGCGCTTTTTAAAATGAGCTATTCTGAGGTTTCCTCAACTTTGATTGCACATTAAAATCAGGTGGAAAGATGTTTTGAAAGTATCTTGGCCCCTGAGATTCTGGTTTAATTTGTCTGGGGTGGGGCCCAAGCACACATTTAGAAAGAAAACTCCCCTGCAATTCTGACATGCATCTAGGGTGGGGAACCACTGGTGTATCTCATCTTTTATATATGTGGGGAAAAACAAATATTAAAAAAAATCCCAGTTTTACTGTTTCAGTCTATTTTCTCACCACCTCTATTAGAATAGATTTATTAGAATAGCTTCTTAGCTCTTTTCCTTCCTCCAGTCTCTTCCCAATCCAATGAACCATTCTATAATTGTCTGGCTAATCAGTTTGATTCTGAAACATTATCTCACTGAAAGTCATTTTAAGCACCGTATAACAGTATCACGAACAGAAGTGTCTTCATCAAGTAGAAGATATATTGTGTACATAGGTATGTGTATGTTTGTGTTTATGTATAACCTCAATACAGTTTATTTTTCTTCAATTCTGGTGTATTGATCTTCATTTATATATAATGAATACCTAATGTCTTTACATTCAAAAATATTGCCCCTAAATAGGTTATGGATGAATGTTGTCAAAAACAAACAAGAAATGGGTCACCCACAGATATATTATATAAAGGGAAGAAAGCACACATTCTTTCTCAAGATTAGATAATCTTGAAGTGTTCCCATGAGGAACACAGTGAACTGAAAAAAAACAAAGTGAAATTATTTCAAGAAGTCCCATGTTACTGCAGACACTGATAAAGATTACGATGGGGGATGGAAGTATATAGTGCAGTAATCAGAGTGCTTGCCTCGTATGTATGATGCCCTAAGTTCCATTGCCACTTGCAGCACAATAAAAGGAAAGGAAAGGAAAGGGAAGGAAAGGAGAGGAGAGGAGAGGAGAGGAGAGGGGAGGAGAGGAGA